CCCCCTCTCACTTTTCCCCCCTCTCCCCCTCTCACTTTTCCCCCCTCTCCCCCTCTCACTTTTCCCCCTCTCCCCCTCTCACTTTTCCCCCCTCTCCCCCTCTCACTTTTCCCCCCTCGCCCCCTCTCACTTTTCCCCCTCTCCCCCTCTCACTTTTCCCCCCTCTCCCCCTCTCACTTTTCCCCCCTCTCCCCCCTCTCACACTTTTCCCCCCTCTCCCCCTCTCACTTTTCCCCCCTCTCCCCTCTCCTCTCCCTTTCCCCCCCTCTCCCCCTCTCCCTTTTCCCCCCTCTCCCCCTCCAACCTTCCCCCTTTCTCCCCTTCTCCCCCTCCCCCTCTTCCCCCCCAAGGCGCGCGCACCTGGTGCAGCAGCGCGCCCATCTCCTCTCTCTCGCTGTGATTCCGCGTGCGACTGCGACGGCGACGACCGCAGCGCCACGTCCTGGTGGCGCGTGACGACGCGCGCGGAGGAGAAGAAAAAAAAAAAGAACGCGCGGCGGGATTCAGCGTACGACGATGAGGGGCGGGAAGGAAGAGAGCCTTTAGTTGAGGTAAAAAACGAGGAGGAGACGGGAAGATCTAAGAGAGGAAGTGGGAAGAGACGCGAGAGGAACGAGGCGAAGCGAGATGCTGTTTGTCAAAGGCGCCTTCGAAACGAAGAGAGGAGAGGGAGAGAGGTAGAGAGACAGAGATATAGACGCACATAGATGCCGTGCGACTGCGACTTTTGAGACGTCTCAAAGTCTTCTGAGACGTCTCAAGAGGGAGGGGAGAGAGTAGAGAGACAGAGAGATAGACGCACATAGATGCCGTGCGACTGCGCAAGGATTCGATAATGGCCGAGCGGAACGACGCGCGCAACTCGTCCGTGCTGGACACTCTTCCACCCGCGCATCTAACGGCAACCTCCCGCGAATCCCGCGCATCCCGCGCATCCCGCGTGTCCGCACGGACCCCCCGCTCCTGCATCCCCTCCACCTCCTGCGCGGCTCCGCCCGGTTCCCCTGGTTCCGCAGTACCAGTCGCCCTGTCAACATGCCGACCCCCCTCATCTGCGCCCCCTCCTTCCCCCATCGCCCTCCTCTCCGTCGAGAGTGTTACAACGAGATTCGAAAGCCCGTAACAGTATTGTAAGTCCTGATTCAAGCGCTGTCGTCGTCGCTGTCGGCGGCGTCGTCGTCGTTCGTCGTCGTCGCACGTCTTGCTCCCACTCGCAGTCGCACGGCGACAACGGCGTCAGATCTGAGACTGCTGACTCTTAACGTTCACTCCGACGTGGACTCACCCCCGAACCGTGGCCACGCGCGCTCGCGATCTGCGAAGAAGAGCGAAGTGGCTGTAACATGTAGATGGCCGCAGCGAGTGGTGTGCGGCGACAAATCTGTCCATGAGTAACATCAAATTTCGTCAATGGTCCAGGTGCGAACAGTCCATTCAAGATGTTAAAGCCCGAGTATCACATGGCTGATTTCATATTCAAGATTCTTGATATGAATTCCGCAAAACCCAGTTACCACCTGAAGTTGAGCATTCTGTCACGATAGTGATCGTGATTGGCCAGCGACACTCAAAGTCATACCGAGCGGAGGGGTCAGCTGGCAGGCAGCACTGTTCACTTGAACTGAACTTGAAAACCATCTGGTACTAGTTGCCAAGCATACTATGCATAGTTCACCCGCTATTCACGCCCAAAGAACTCCGTTTCTCCGTTTCTACCAGTGATTTATCAGTGATGAAATAGATTGCTCTGTAAAACATGTTTGACTTAGGTTGCCCCCGTCGCCTTCGCCTGCCCGCGACTCCTTCGGTGTCCTTCGCTCCTGGTACTCGCTTCCTCACCGTCGTCCACGACTTTCCGCTCGACACCCACGCTTCCGCGCGTCGCCCAGCCTTCCGCTCGTCTCTCCCTTCCATTCGCCGCCCTCCCTCCCACCCGTCGCCTCCCAATCCGCTCGTCGCCCTCCCATCCGCTCGTCGCCCTCCTTCCGCCCGTCGCCCTCCTTCCGCCGTCGCCCTCTCATCCGCGCGTCACTCTCATCCGCGCGTCACTCTCCCATCCACTCGTCGCCCTCCCTTCCGCCCGTCGCCCTCTCTTCCGCGCGTCGCCCTCCCATCCGCGCGTCGCCCTCCCTTCTGCCCGTCGCCTCCCTTCCGCCCGTCGCCCTCCCTTCTGCCCGTCGCCTCCCTTCCGCCCGTCACTCTCTCTTCCGCCCGTTGCCCTTCCTTCGTCTCGTCGCCCCCCATCACGCTCGTCCCCTCGCAAACCCCGTCTCACTATCTCCCTGTCGCTCTCGCTTTCCCGGTCCCTTCTTTTTCCCCGTCGCCCTTCCATCCCCGCGTCGCGCTCGCCATCCCTCCCGTCTCCCTTCCTATCGCGCACACTTGCCCCCATCCCTTTCCCTGCTTCCCCCCATCCCCTTCCCTGCTTCCCCCCACCCCCCTCCCTGCTTCCCCCCATCCCTTCCCTGCTTCCCCCACCCCCCTCCCTGCTTCCCCCCATCCCCTTCCCTGCTTCCCCCCATCCCCTTCCCTGCTTCCCCCCATCCCCTTCCCTGCTTCCCCCCATCCCCTTCCCTGCTTCCCCCCATCCCCTTCCCTGCTTCCCCCCATCCCCTTCCCTGCTTCCCCCATCCCCCTCCCTGCTTCCCCCCATCCCCATCCCTGCTTCCCCCCATCCCCTCCCTGCTTCCCCCCATCCCCTTCCCTGCTTCCCCCTTTCCCCTTCCCTGCTTCCCCTCCATACCCATCCCTGCTTCCCCCCATCCCCTTCCCTGCTTCCCCCTTTCCCCTTCCCTGCTTCCCCCCATCCCCTTCCCTGCTTCCCCCCATCCCCTTCCCTGCTTCCCCCTTTCCCCTTCCCTGCTTCCCTTCATCCCCTTCCCTGCTTTCCCCCATCCCCCTCCCTGCCCCCCCTCCCTCCCCTGTTCCCTGCTCCCCCCATCCCCTTCCCTGCTTCCCCCTTCCCCTTCCCTGCTTCCCCCCATCCCCTTCCCTGCTTCCCCCATCCCCCTCCCTGCTTCCCCCCATCCCTTCCCTGCTTCCCCCCATCCCCTTCCCTGCTTCCCCCCATCCCCTTCCCTGCTTCCCCCCATCCCCTTCCCTGCTTCCCCCCATCCCCTTCCCTGCTTCCCCCCATCCCCTTCCCTGCTTCCCCCTTTCCCCTTCCCTGCTTCCCTTCATCCCCTTCCCTGCTTCCCCCCATCCCCTTCCCTGCTTCCCCCCATCCCCTTCCCTGCTTCCCCCCATCATGTGCCCTTGCCGTTGCCGTTGTTACCTTGCACCTCACACCACCTCCCTCATGTGCCTTCACACAATTCTTTTTTCCTACTCCACTCACCTATTTTTCAGTGGTGAAGCAGAGGAGCAACAGTTGCTAGCTGAGGCACAGCTACTCGGTGCTTTACACCGTACCACGACCTGTTTCTTGTGTTTTCTATGCAAGCATGATACTGTATCACTGTTGGGGATATGCAATTCAAAGGCACACTTTGTACTAATTGCCTTTGCACTACAAGATATTTTTTCCAATATGCATGGACACGAGTGTCAGGTCAGAAGGGAATATATAGGCATGTTTCTAATACTTTTGATTGTAGGCAAAGATCAAGGGGAGCAATACGACTGACCTTTCTCAAGGCCTTGAAAAAAACATGAGGGGAACTGTTATTCTACGAGCATGGCATGGCATAAGATGATGGGCTGAGGCAAGTTGAAGTACCAGAAAAATCTTCAGTGTAGCAACTGCCACAGCCAGGGAGGGGAGAGAATACGAGGGATTGGGAGGGGGAACAATAAAGAAAGTCAAACAGATAGAGATGAGAAGGGGGGAGGTAGGGGGGACAGCGAAGAGGGGGGAAGAGGAAGCAAGGGGGAAGAGAAAGGGGGAAATATGAAGACATGAGAGGGAAAGAGGATAGGAAGAAGGGGGGTGAGGGAAAGGAGGAGATAGGAAGAGGGTGAGAGGGAAAGAAGACAATACCAAAGGAAGGAGGGTGGGGAAGAGGGAAGATAGGGGATAAGGGGAGAGGGAAACGAGGGAAAGGAGAAGCAGGGCAGGGAGATAGGGAGATAAAACGAGGGGAAGAAGAGGGGGAAACGAGGGGAAGCAGGGGGGGAAACGAGGGGAAAAACAGAGGGGGAATTGAGAGAAGCAGGGGGGAAGATGAGGTGCGAGAGTGGGGAAAATGAGGGGAAGGAGGGGGAGGAGAGATTAGGGGAAGCAGAGGGGAGAACGAGAGCAAGCAGGGGAGGAAATGAGGGGAAGAAGAGGGGAGAAACGAGAGCAAGCAGGGGAGGAAATGAGGGGAAGAAGAGGGGAGAACGAGAGCAAGCAGGGGAGTAAATGAGGGGAAGAAGAGGGGAGAACGAGAGCAAGCAGGGGAGGTAAATGAGGGGAAGAAGAGGGGAGAACGAGAGCAAGCAGGGGAGTAAATGAGGGGAAGAAGAGGGGGAGAACGAGAGCAAGCAGGGGAGTAAATGAGGGGAAGAAGAGGGGAGAGAGAGAACGGAGCAAGCAGGGGAGGAAATGAGGGGAAGAAGAGGGGAGAACGAGAGCAAGCAGGGGAGTAAATGAGGGGAAGAAGAGGGGAGAACGAGAGCAAGCAGGGAGGGGAGTAAATGAGGGGAAGAAGAGGGGAGAACGAGAGCAAGCAGGGGAGGAAATGAGGGGAAGAAGAAGAAGAGGGGGAGAACGAGAGCAAGCAGGGGAGGAAATGAGGGAAGAAGAGGGAGAGAACGAGAGCAAGCAGGGGAGTAAATGAGGGGAAGAAGAGGGGAGAACGAGAGCAAGCAGGGGAGGAAATGAGGGGAAGAAGAGGGGAGAACGAGAGCAAGCAGGGGAGGAAATGAGGGGAAGAAGAGGGGAGAACGAGAGCAAGCAGGGGAGGAAATGAAATGAGGGGAAGAAGAGGGGAGAACGAGAGCAAGCAGGGGAGTAAATGAGGGGAAGAAGAGGGGAGAACGAGAGCAAGCAGGGGAGTAAATGAGGGGAAGAAGAGGGGAGAACGAGAGCAAGCAGGGGAGGAAATGAGGGGAAGAAGAGGGGAGAACGAGAGCAAGCAGGGGAGTAAATGAGGGGAAGAAGAGGGGAGAACGAGAGCAAGCAGGGGAGGAAATGAGGGGAAGAAGAGGGGAGAACGAGAGCAAGCAGGGGAGGAAATGAGGGGAAGAAGAGGGGAGAACGAGAGCAAGCAGGGGAGTAAATGAGGGGAAGAAGAGGGGAGAACGAGGAAGCAGGGGAGCAGGGGGAGTAAATGAGGGGAAGAAGAAGAGGGAGAACGAGAGCAAGCAGGGGAGGAGGAGGAAATGAGGGGAAGAAGAGGGGAGAACGAGAGCAAGCAGGGGAGTAAATGAGGGGAAGAAGAGGGGAGAACGAGAGCAAGCAGGGGAGTAAATGAGGGGAAGAAGAGGGGGAGAACGAGAGCAAGCAGGGGAGGAAATGAGGGGAAGAAGAGGGGAGAACGAGAGCAAGCAGGGGAGGAAATGAGGGGAAGAAGAGGGGAGAACGAGAGCAAGCAGGGGAGTAAATGAGGGGAAGAGAGGGGAGAAGAGGGGAGAACGAGAGCAAGCAGGGGAGTAAATGAGGGGAAGAAGAGGGGAGAACGAGAGCAAGCAGGGGAGGAAATGAGGGGAAGAAGAGGGGAGAACGAGAGCAAGCAGGGGAGGAAATGAGGAAATGAGGGGAAGAAGAGGGGAGAACGAGAGAGCAAGCAGGGGAGGAAATGAGGGAAGAAGAGGGGAGAACGAGAGCAAGCAGGGGAGTAAATGAGGGGAAGAAGAGGGGAGAACGAGAGCAAGCAGGGGAGGAAATGAAGGGAAGAAGAGGGGGGGAGAACGAGAGCAAGCAGGGAGTAAATGAGGGGAAGAAGAGGGGAGAACGAGAGCAAGCAGGGGAGTAAATGAGGGGAAGAAGAGGGGAGAACGAGAGCAAGCAGGGGAGGAAATGAGGGGAAGAAGAGGGGAGAACGAGAGCAAGCAGGGGAGTAAATGAGGGGAAGAAGAGGGGAGAACGAGAGCAAGCAGGGAGGAAATGAGGGGAAGAAGAGGGGAGAACGAGAGCAAGCAGGGGAGGAAATGAGGGGAAGAAGAGGGGAGAACGAGAGCAAGCAGGGGAGGAAATGAGGGGAAGAAGAGGGGAGAACGAGAGCAAGCAGGGGAGTAAATGAGGGAAGAAGAGGGGAGAACGAGAGCAAGCAGGGGAGGAAATGAGGGGAAGAAGAGGGGGGAGAACGAGAGCAAGCAGGGGAGTAAATGAGGGGAAGAAGAGGGGAGAAGGGGAGAGAGCAAGCAGGGGAGTAAATGAGGGGAAGAAGAGGGGAGAACGAGAGCAAGCAGGGGAGGAAATGAGGGGAAGAAGAGGGGAGAACGAGAGCAAGCAGGGGAGGAAATGATGGGGAAGAAGAGGGGAGAACGAGAGCAAGCAGGGGAGTAAATGAGGGGAAGAAGAGGGGAGAACGAGAGCAAGCAGGGGAGTAAATGAGGGGAAGAAGAGGGGAGAACGAGAGCAAGCAGGGGAGGAAATGAGGGGAGAAGAGGGGAGAACGAGAGCAAGCAGGGGAGGAAATGAGGGGAAGAAGAGGGGAGAACGAGAGCAAGCAGGGGAGGAAATGAGGGGAAGAAGAGGGGAGAACGAGAGCAAGCAGGGGAGTAAATGAGGGGAAGAGGGGAGAACGAGAGCAAGCAGGGGAGGAAATGAAGGGAAGAAGAGGGGAGAACGAGAGCAAGCAGGGGAGTAAATGAGGGGAAGAAGAGGGGAGAACGAGAGCAAGCAGGGGAGTAAATGAGGGGAAGAGAAGAGGGAGAACGAGAGCAAGCAGGGGAGGAAATGAGGGGAAGAAGAGGGGAGAACGAGAGCAAGCAGGGGAGGAAATGAGGGGAAGAAGAGGGAAGAACGAGAGCAAGCAGGGGAGTAAATGAGGGGAATAAGAGGGGAGAACGAGAGCAAGCAGGGGAGTAAATGAGGGGAAAGAAGAGGGGAGAACGAGAGCAAGCAGGGGAGTAAATGAGGGGAGAAGAGGGGAGAACGAGAGCAAGCAGGGGAGTAAATGAGGGGAAGAAGAGGGGAGAACGAGAGCAAGCAGGGGAGTAAATGAGGGGAAGAAGAGAGGGGGGAATGAGGGGAAGCAGACGGGAGTGAGGGAGGGGAAGAAGAGGGAAAAATAAGGGGAAGGTAACAAGAACGAATGGAAGGGGCAGGGAAGCAAGGGCAAGGGATGGGCAGGTGGGAGAAGGGCAGCGGGAGTGGAGGTGCAAGGGGGGGCAGCGTGACGAGGGTGCTGGCACGCTGATGGCAGGGGAGGCGCGGCGATCGGAGGCGCGGCGCAGCGAGCGGAGGCCCGGCGCGGCGAGCGGAGGCGCGGCATGGCGAGCGGAGGCTTGTCGCGGCGAGCGGAGGCGCGGCGAGGCGAGCAGAGGCGCGACGAGGGGAGGAGCTCGATGAGGGAAGGGGAGGAGCCACTCAGAGGTGCGTGGGAAGGCGTGGTGAGGTGGCTTCACTCACCCTCGCGACCACAATGCGTTCCTACGTATTTCATGCTGCGAAGCGCTGTCGTAATGATTTCTTCTCGAAAATTACTCAGAAAAAATAGTGAGGTTGGGCTTGTTCACTTGATTTTCCCTCAGCTGGTTGGGTTGGTTTGTCGCACGCTCCAACCGATGTTGAGTGACGAATGCAGAATTTCCTCGTTGCCTAATCTCGCTTTCGCCACGCCCATATTCTCGAAATGAATATTGCTTTCGTCAATACGTTTAAAGCCCTTCCGAGATTGTGGCAAAAACCATTTGATACTCGGGCTTTAAATCAAGGCGATCCGAAATCTAGGAACCCTTGCATGAAGGGCCTTTGCTACAGAAGTGCACCATTAAAAGTGTACAATCTACAGTACTTATGTTTCAGAGTAATTAACCACAACAGAATGGAACCATATTATATTTTGACCATGAAGAACAAGGTGTATACACTCTGGAATGTCAGTATAGACTTCGTAGAGTTGAATATAAGAAACACGAAATACACACAGAAAGAGACAGCATTGTGATCTCTACACCCAGCAGTATCATTTCCCTAATTGTAGAACCGTAAAAAGAAAAAGAGAAACAAAAACATACAAAAAGGAGGAAAAAGAACCTCACAAGAACCCCCACACAATCAATCACCCTGCCAATGAAGATGGAAGTATCCAAACGCGATGGAAACGTCCTGTAGTAGTATATCACATAGCTGATAACACAGGTGCGACAGGGCACCATGTTTGTGATATTATGGAGGCCTAAGCAGGAGCGCGAGTTTGAATGGGACTGCTGGCCTCTGCAACAGGTGCGGCTGAAGCTGCCATGCCTGCAGGCCCGAAAGCTGCTGCAGCTGGGCCTGGTCCAAGCACAAAAGACCGCCCCTCGGGTTGTGCTTCTCTCTCTGCACATCCTCCTGCCCCATGATAAGCTCCTGCTTGCACCTCTGCTTGCGACTGGGATTGTGTTCCTGCATGCGCATGAGCTTGTGAATGCCCATAAGCTTGTCCCTGTGCTTGTACTTGTGCTCGTGCTTGTGCTTGTGACTGGGCCTGTGCCTGTGTCTGTGCCAGGACGGATGGTGAAGGAGCGAGCATGGCATAGGCACTCCGGCTTCTTGCTGCTTTGTGCCTATCACCCAGCAGTCTTTCACCCTGCTGCTGCTGCAGCTGCAGCTGTTCTCCTTCATCATTCGTGCCTGCCGATGCTGACCTATCAATTCCCATCGCCATGGCTGAGGGTGGGAGTCGAACCAGAACAGGAGGCTCAGGATGACTGGAAGAGGCCAGGTGGAGAGAAAATGCACTCTGAGGCAGGCGCCATGCAGAGGAGCCTGCTATGCTTATGGGTGCTGCTGCTATGCCTATGGGTGCTGCAGCTATGGCCCCCCCCACGGGTGCTGTTGCTACGCTTCCCATCGGTGCTGCTATGCCTCCTGATGCGCTTCCCATAGGTGCCGTGCCTTCTACGGCAGATGCAGATGCAGCAGATGCATTATGGTCAGATGGCTGTTGAGACTGAGAGGACGCCATTGCTGCTGGTGAGGCAGAGGGAGGATAGGACGAGGAGGAGAGAGATGAGGGACGGACAGGGGTGTGAGGTGTCGAGAGGGGAGTGTGCGGGAGCACCGAAGGGGTGTGAGGGTGCACGGACGGGGTGTGTGGGGCCATGAGAGGTAAAGCAGGAGGCTTGGAAGGCGCGTGTATGGTAGGTGGCATGCCGGCATGATGAGAAGTGGGGCCAGCAGGGGCAGCAGGGGCAGCAGGGGCAGCAGGGGCGGCGGGGGCGGCGGGGGCAGGGGCGGCGGGGACAGTGGGGACAGACCAGGGGTATGAGGGTCGGAGGGGAAGGGTGGAGAGGAGGAGGCAGATGGGCGGGAAGCAGTGGGCTTTGCCACTGTGGTAGGCGGCACAGAGGCTACGGGTTGCGAGGGAGGTAGGTAGTCCGTGCGACGGAAAGGTGCGGACACAGAGGGAAAAGGCGCAGTGGAAACAGGAGCAGCAACAGCAACAACAGCGCCTGAGCCTGAGCCTGATCCATCTGAGCCTGCGCCTGCGCCTCCTCCCTCTCCTGCTCCAGGTGCATTTTGCCGCAACGCGTCAACCAGACTGCGGTGAGAGGGCGATGAGGAGGAGGCAAGGCCGGCACAGGAGCTCAGAGCAAGGGTCGAGGGGTGTGCGAGAGAGGGGTGGTGAGGGAGCGGGGACGTGTGGTGGTGTCGCTGAGGTGGTGTGCTCAGCAGCCGCACCGGTGCTGCTAACTCAGCAGAGCCTCCCCCACTTACACTGCCGATAGTTGTGGCAGCAGCTGTGGTGGCGGCTGTAGCGGCAGCCTGTAGCGGCGGTGGTCGTAGCTGCGGTTGTAGCCACAGTGGTGGCGGCAGCTGTAGCGGCAGCAAAGGAGAGAGTGGCACAGCGTGGTGCTTTCCTGCCTCGTGACCGGCCCTTTCCCTGCGTTACCAGGTGCTGTGGCTGTTGCTCCTCTGACCCTGCAC